ACCCAAATGTTTTAAATACACCATATGAGTAGGCCACAGAAGACAATTTACAACGAAAAGTAAAAAATCAATAGCTGATACTATTAATAACTTTGTTCACTTCCTGTGCGGAAAAAACTGAGAGAGCAACGAAATTATGAAACTGTAGACAAAGCAAAGGACTAGAGTCAGTTACCTCTATAAACAGCCATGTAAAGGTATATTTTATAAAATGCAATTGCTTGAGTAAATCTTATGTGTATGTTTTGCTAAATGTTTTATTTTTGAAAGAATAATAATAATAATTGTATATTTGCTTCATATTTATAAATGAAAAACCTGAAATAGGAATAGACTCCATTTTAGTTCATTTTTCAAGAATCTGTCACATTTTCGACCTATATTCATAATTTCGAATGTGGCGCCATCCCTCGCTAATCAACAATTTGGTTGGAAAATAAAGAATGTGGTACATAAAGAATATTTCAGATAAAATATGTGTGGGCGAGAGGTGGCCTACACTTATTACGAAACAAATACATCACTAATGACGCAATCGGTCAAACTCTTTTTTAACTGAAAGAATTGAACATTTTAACATATGTTTTCATCAAATATTCATATCATGATCGCAGTTTAAAATGTTGAAATTTTAAGGCCCACAATTTTGGGTAGGGGAACAATCTGTAATCTTTGTTAATTTGTTCAAAATCAATTTGATAAACATTAAAGATTTACTGTACCACCAGTGACCAAGAATGAGCTATTAAATGATTTAACAAAACTTATATACAAATCATCTGGTATTTATGGATACTATTAGACCAAACATCCTAAGTTTATGTACCCCTTTCATTGCATCATTTCTCACATATATATTCCAACGAATGATAGATACCCGTGGATAGACACGGTTATATATTGACTGTTTTAAATTTCTAAGCATGTCCAAACTTGGCTCATCTTAATCTTACCCAATTCAGTGGGAAATCTAGTGAACTAGAACAAAAGAAAATTCACTCTTCTTATGATAGAGTCGAGAAAATCCAAAACAACAATGCCTGTGACGATATTGATCAAAAGTTATTTCTAAACAACAAACGTACATTTTATAGAAACTATTTGTTGAACTGTGTTATAGAACATATGCATGCAAAAACACGATAGTTTATATTCAGTATTTATCGAGGTAATTGCTTTAGAAGCTTGTGAGATTGAAATCTAAAAATGTTAATCTTAAATGTATATCTATAAAAAAAATTGAAAAAACAAATGTACATACAAAATCTTTATAAAGGTCTTTCAGGCTACCAATTTTCGGAGTGTTCCACAAAGTCCTTCTCATGTTAAAATTGAAGTTGCTACTTCATGAATTAATCGAAAAGCAATATTTTACATTTGTAAATCAATTTTACACCAAGCTCCTATTACCTGCTGTTCTCATCGTTTACTATTTAAGGAGATCATTAAATGGAAGTTTTGTTTTGATTTAAACTTTTTAATTTTTACTATTCACTTGAACGTGTTCTCGTGAATTTTTAACTGAAAGCGTCCTTGCCAAGACGGAACAAACATACATTGAGAAGATCAAGTGTTCAGTGTGAACAGGGGAGGTAATATTTTGTCACTTGATTTCCCAACGTAACGTGTTTTGGTCCGACTGGTACCATTTCTTTTCCTGTGTGACCCTATGATCTATGGTCGCCGATTCTAGCACAAAGGATGCGGCGTTTCAATGCTTCTTTATTGAAGAATGCTAAGGTAAAACCAGTTGACAAGGTTGATGAAAAGTTTTTTTGAACTGATAACAGACCTATAGCTTTTCATCCAACTTTTTAGAAATTTATATAAAGGCATGTTTCTAATAACATGTACAAATACTTATCTAAATTAAGACTTTTAAATTCTACTCATGGCATATTTTGGTATTAATATTGATTCACTCATAGGGTCTTTGCATCGAAAAAAAACACATTTATTCTAAAACCAGTTGTTGGCATGATACGGGTTATGTTCTTCTCATATATTTTATGATGATATGATACCAAAGCCTTACGAGAGTGATTGTGCTTGATTTTCATATGATGAAGACATAATCGTTCAATCAGTTTAATTGAGGTCTGGAGTTTGCATGTCAGTAACTGCTAGTAGTCCTTTGTTAATTTATGTATCATTGTCATTTTGCTTAGTTTCTTTTGTTACCTATTCTGACATCGGACTCGGACTTTGCTGTGTGTTTGTTTTTTCTACATTGGCTAGATGTATAGGGGGAGGGTTGAGATCTCACAAAACATGTATAACACCGCCGCATTTTTGCGCCTGTCCCAAGTCAGAAGCCACTGGCCTTTGGTAGTCTTGTATGATTTTTAATTTTAGTTCATTTCTATGTTTTCGAGTTTAGTATGACGTTCATTTTCATTGAACTAGTACACATTTTTGTTTGGGGGCCAGCTGTAGCCCGCCTCCGGGTGCAGAATTTTCTCGCTGTGTTGAAGACCCATTGGTGGCCTTCAGCTGTTTTCTGCTCTTTGGTCGGATTGTTAACTCTTTGACACGTTCCCCATTTCCATTAATTTTATCATTCTGCAGGTTTAATGATATTCTTTCTTTAAAGCTTGGAATTTATGATTTAGTGGTCCTAATCTCAGTTTTCTCAAGTCATACCTAAATATCAGAACACAGCAGGTAAACATTTGTAATGTTTATTCTGAACAACAATATGTAAAATTTGTTGTCACACAAGGTTCTATATTTGGAACTCTAATAATTGTGTTTTTTTAAACGACTTTCCCCTGTGCATTGAAAGTTGTGAAACAGACCTGTCTGCTGATGACAGCTGAATATCCAATACCTCAACTATTTACTTTATAAAAATGTTTGCGTATGGAAGCATCTAAAAGTTTCAAAAGTTTAAACTGATAGTAGATAATAATCCTTACTCTTGGAGAGGTGTTATTTAAGGTTGTTCGATAGTTCCTAAGCCTTATCCAGAAACTGAGCTGTTTAAGAAATATTTTGTTTATTCTGAATCAGTGAAGCCAGTGGCCGAAACGTCTTAAAATGGTTTATTACTACAATGGTATTCTGAATCAGTTATATGGAATGAACTACCACACAAAATGCGTAAAACACATTTATCTTTATTTTTATCATTTGAAATTATATCTGCATTTTAGAAATTTACTTTTCTTTGCTTTTTTGTTCCTTTGCTGACTCATGAACAGTTACACCACACCTTCAACTATTCATGCCAACAATTCTAAAGAAAACCAAAAAACCAGTGTCAGACATTTCCAATTATTATTACCGATATAAATCAAATCTTGTTTAAAATATTATATTCTTTTTTCTCATATGTTCTATTCATAGCAGCAATGACGAAGACAAACTGCTTGTGTGGTCGTCCATCACAACATTTTGAGTAATGTAAAACCTTCAATATGGTTGATTTATCAAAACAAAAGGACTTCATCGAGTGAATCTTGATTAGCCCTTAGCAAGTTAACAAAAAGTGTTCGATAATATAACATTATAAGTACCCTGCCACGTTCGGTCCGTTTTTTTGTTACAAGCCTTTCTGCTTTGTATCGATCTGATAAGTTAAGCCCTTTTCACCTGATTTTTATAGTTTGTTCTTTTGTTGTACTGTTACACCACTTGCAGGGTTAGGAGAGGGTTGGCGCTTTCAAACTAGTTTAACCCCGCAACGTTCTTTATATGCCTGTCCGAAGTCAGGAGCCTGTAATTCAGTGGTTGTCGTTTCTTGCTGTATATCATATTTTCTTCGTTCTTTATTTATTTATAAATCAGGCCGTTAATTTTATCGTTTGAATTGTTTTACAGTTGTAATTTCAGGGCCTTTTATAGCTGACTATGCGGTAAGGGTTTTGCTCATTGTTGAAGGCCGTACGGTGACCTATAGTTGTTAACTTCTTTGTCTCATTGGCAATCATACCACATCTTCTTATTTTTATATCTGGACCATGTGTTGTTCGTCGTTGTTTGTTTTTGTTTGAACTTGTATTTTGTTAGTTAGTCGAGTTTTGGTGGTTTATTTGGGTTTTTTTTATTGGTGATTCTTGTGAACCTTTTCTTTGTCTTGCATAGTTTTCCTTGACAAAGTAAAGTTATAAGATTGTAAAATAAATTGAGAGAATAAGAAGAGTATTTGCATTTACCATCAAAAATCTATCCTTAAACAAACAAAAAACATATGAGTTATGTTAGTGTGTTCAAAATTTTATTAGAAATAAACATACTGCATTCCATATAAAGTGCAGTTTCAATGTATGGTCACTAGTTATTTGAAAATCACAACGGCTCGCATTGATATGATTGTATAACACAAACAAATACTTTATGAAAGGCCATCACAATTGGATTTAAAATAAAGAAAACAAAATTTTCAGAATAAACCCAATTTGTGTACCAGACATTTCAGAGACAATACATACTGCATCAGATAGATTGACATGTTTCAGAAACAATTTTAAACGCTATTTAAAAAGGCATCATTAAATTTAACAAAATTTACATGATATACACGAATACTAGTGAAATCCACATGACGGCCTATTTTCCTCTTAACAACTATAGGTCAATTTTATATAAGCATAATTATCCATCGTTTAGTTAGTTTCCTTTAAATTTTTGTTCAATAACATGACAAGAGCTGAAGGGAATTCTAATTATCAAAATCCTGAAACAGATATTCATCGATACAAGGAAAATTACTAGCAAGTAATTATTCAGAAAGACATGCTTGTATATATAAAACACACAATAGAAATTTGCAAGGAGCATCATTATGATAAGATATTTTATTTCAATGCAATTCGCTTCATATAATTTTTACTACCCAGAATTCTTCCGTTCTATTTAAAATATTCAGATTGTGTTTTGAATTAAAACCGTCTTACAATCTTTATCCTTTAAAATTATCACTCATTAATATTTCATGTTTTCGTTTTAGATTTAGGTTGATACTTTACTATTCTTCAAAACTCAAAAATTTCAATATTAAGGCAACACTCTTGTTAGCTGTTGTAGTGGCAGTTATTGTCGGAGGTAAATATCTTTATTGAAATGCATCTGTGTGTATGTTTGCCTGAAAAAGTATATTTTAAAATATTTCTTTGAGATAATGATAAATGTTTACAAATGAAAGGTAAAAAATACCAAACGGACATGCAAACTCATATGGAATCTGATGTTCAGTAGTTGTCGTTTGTTGATGTGGTTCATAAGTGTTTCTCGTTTCTCGTTTTTTATATAGATTAGACCGTTGGTTTTCCCGTTTGAATGGTTTTACACTAGTAATTTTTTGGGGCCCTTTATAGCTTACTGTTCGGTGTGAGCCAAGGCTCCGTGTTGAAGACCGTACTGTGACCTATAATGGTTTACTTTTATAAATTTTTACTTGGATGGAGAGTTGTCTCATTGGCACTCATACCACATCTTCTTATATCTATATCATAAGTCGAAAACAAATTGACAACGCCATGTAAAAAAATGAAAAAGAACAAAGAACAAACACCAATACAAAAAAAAAATCACACAACGCAGAAAACTAAAGACTAGCAACACGGACCGCACCAAAAACCGTGTGATATTTTTTTAGGGTATCTAGATGGATATGTAAACGAACTTTTTATAGAAGCATCGTTATTTGTGTGCACACTTACACATACTTACTTTATATTTTTTTTTTTTCTTATTTTAATTTAGGTTAAGGAAACCCAATCAAAGTCTTGCACATCGTACTACTGTAGTAAGTTCTGTTCGACTGCTGGTTGCTTATTTCATAGATGCTACACCACTAATCCCGGGAAAATTTGTTACTGCCTTCATTGTAGCAGAGTTGAATTACCATTTGCTAGAAATGTGAACGAAAAGGATAACACTCCAAAGTAAGTATTTAATTCAAGATATCGTTGCACAATATCAACTTGATAAATTTGAAAAAAATATTAATTGACTACATAACAGCATATGTTGAATCTAAGATGTATACCTCTTTTTGATACAGACCATTTAAAAATTAGAAAATAAAGAATTCCATCTTGCAAATAGTATATACTCAGTCTTATAACTCCAAATTGCCGGGAAAAAGCGACCGTCTGAAACACTTCTGTAAGAGTCGTTCAACATCACTTTCATATAAATCACTGACTGGTAAATTGCAAGAAAATAATCAGCAGTAAAACTAGTATTTGAAAAGATTTAATTTAATTTGTGAATGGAAGGCCGCAAATAAGAAAAGATTTACTCCTTTTTCAGAATGACTGAGATGGAAAAATTGGATCACGGAATGATATGTTCTAGACAAACATTTGACATGAGGATCACAAACATGTAACTTAGAAAATCTGCCATACGTCTTTCCATTGGCGTTGAACACTTTGTTCCAATTCTAAAACGTTTATTTTCAACTTGAAAAATTAATCAAATCTTCTGTCACACACTATAAGCTTTTCCAGCGTGAAGTAATATTATAACATTTAACAAATAACATATGCTTGTCAGTGTGTCGTGATTTATATCTGTCAGTGGAAGTTAGTTTTAGGAAAACAGAACGTATTAATTGTTTTCTTCCCGACTTGTTATATGCTTTATGCAATTTTAATTTTTGTTTCTTTGTTTGTGTCTTCATGTTCAGATAAAATAGCTTGAAAACAAATTAGAGTTATGATTTAAATTTTCATAATAACCAATGGTAGGCAGGAATTAAACCATTATCGTGACGTTAGCCTAGTCATTTACCGTGGAACCTTTTTCTAGAATCAACGCTTCCTAAATCTGTCGCTGAAATGGACTCACCAAATTATATTCAATTGTTTCCTTTGTGTACCTAATTTCATTAAGTTTGAATTGGCTTATTTACTGATTTCTGTTCACCCGTCCTTGAAATCTGTAATGTCTGACTGACATCAACATATCGACGAAACCTCTAGGCTACCGATGGATTACAGTTTAGATGTCTATTTTATATATATAAATGAACATATGATATACATCGGTACAACAGACACACAAGGCTTGTACCTTTATATATACATATAAGACAATCGTATAGTATAAGTTGGTAGCCGCGAGGTTAGCATGGTTAAGATCAATGAGTTAAAGAGTCAGGTCAAAGGTAGGGACTTGTCGGTTTAGGTTCGAATCCCTGTAATCTCTTTGTTGTCCCTATTCTTCAGTTTTTTCAGATTTTTCTTACTTTGTATGTTCTTGTGGATATTTTTGTAATAAAAGCGAGTTTTACCGTTTATTTTTGGATTTTTATTGGCTATTTCACATATTTGAAACGAAAATGATTACATTCAATTTATCAATTTTTGTTTTATAAATACAGTCCAGGCTCATGGTATCTTTTTCAAGAATCAACGCTTATTCATTTTATCTATAATACGAAAACCTACCCTGGTATACACCAGTAGTTGTACCGGTTACTGACACTTCAAAAGTTATAAATTCCACTATTTTCAAAGGCCTTATTCGAACAATTTATTACCAGGTTTTTAATTGTTCCAAATGTACTAGTAAGTAGAATAGACAGTTAAGAAGTGAAACAAAAGCTTAAAGACGAAATAAATCTATATTTGTAAGGTGTTTTGTGCAGCATCGGAAGCCAGTACATAGTTCGAACTTTTATGTTATTCGGTTCTGCTTGTAAAGAGGTAGCTTAAAGTTGATGTTTATTGCAGATGTCAGTTTAGAATATATTACTTAAGTCATTACCTTATAAAGAATAAAGTAGCTGTCGCGTATTGACATTAGGATTGTCTTTCGTTTACCATAAAACAGTATTAATATTGCATCAAACTCGATTAAAATGTTCTCCCCTGAAAATATCTAAATCTAGAGATTTTCGAGGAGTTGGATGTTGGAGCTAGATGTGGGATGTTGTGCAATTTAATGATTTTGGAAATTGCTGGCTTCCTTTTTGTTTGTTAAGGATGTTCGCTCTTCTGTTTGAAAATAACAAGGTGTTTAAAAAACTGTTATGAATTGATAGTATACAAATAAAGTTAACGGAACTTAAAAAGCAGGCTAAAAAAGGGTCAGTTTCCTTGTGTTTTGAGATATAAGCAATTGAAAATTTGACGGGAAATGATTCTCTCTAGATTTTTCATGCATTTAGCATTGACGCCTTTTTCCTTTCAAAAACTATGAAAAAATAACAATGCATTTGTAAGATTTTTTAAAAATAACTTATAAAACATTGTGTAATAAAATTATCAAAAGAAAAATATGGGTTAGCGGGCAAGTTTTTTTGGCACTACATGGATTAAACTAGAGTTTTTCAAATAACTGACAAAAAGTTTAAAACAAGAGTAGCGAACATCTTTAAGTAAATTATGAGCATGAAATGGTTTTTTTTCTGTTTTTTTTTTTAAATCGAAGACTTTTAATATTTTGATATTAGCGTTTACATATAATTTTTCCTGCTCGTAAATCTTGGGTTGAATGTCGTTCTGTTAAAATCATTAGTTTGTAAGTCAATTTAAAGTATGAAACCTAAATCTCGTTTTTTAAGTCATGTAATATATGCTTTTCTATAATTTTTTTTATTATAGCATTGCATTTTTGGACAGATGGTGTTATACACACTACTCATAGCCATAGTTAGATACATTATTGGTTGTAGTCAACTACGAAAGCAAGAATAAGTTCTGAATTGACTCATAATGTCCATCATAGTAGTTCTAATGAATGTATAATGCTTAATAGGAATTCCCATGCAAACACTGATTTATTGTCTGCGGCAAATTGCCAAACAAAGGTAACTTCAGTGTGTAAATTGCAATAAAGCTTGATATACACTTACATTTCGAAAATTGAAACTGAAGGATATTTGATAACGTTTCGACAAAATTGATGACTTCATAGGAGAGGAACCGCCAAACAAGGAAAACAACTAAAAACGAAGAAAATACATCAATATGAAAATAAGGAGATCTGGTAGATTGCCAATGAGATAACTTCTGTGATAATGCTCATTCGATGATATAACAATCGAGGAATTCTAAAGTGCAATTTCTTATTTTTATTAGCATTTGCATATGATATGTCTCCCATTTCATATGATATTTGAAAGCTTTGATTTCATCTATGAATTTTCTTCATAATGTATCTCTGCTTACAAGGAAGTTACTAAAACCGTAGTATTTTTATCGAAACATGCAAATTGCGCAAGAATCCGTAAATGACTCGTAACAATTTTTCGTAACTAATACGTAAGATCTTCGATGAATAGTAACATTCCGCTTTATAAAAAGCTCGCAAAATGCCCGTACGTTTCTCGTAGTTATCCGCGACAACTCGTAACAAATCGTGGAATTTTCTGTTAATACTTCTTAATAACTCGTAAAATCCGTATTAAAATGTAAATATAACGTAACATCCCGAAACAACTTTTAAATCGGTAGTAAAAGAGGCAAAATCTTTAGAATCCGTGAATTTGTAAGATCCATAAGGACTCGTTAGAAAAATTCGTGTTTGTGAAGGGGGCATAAGCAGGATATGTACCCCGGCTACACCTTGATTTTTCTTGCTCTATCTTTAGCCTTCTGTGTAGTATTTAATAGACTGTTGTTTGTCTTTTTTTTCTTTTTGACGGTGTTATTGTCTGTTTTTGTCGAAATATTTTTTGCACACATTTATTTAAGAACATTATACTCAAGCCTCGATCTCAAAAATCAGTTTACTCCACGTTTTATTCATTTGTCTTACTTTAAAGTTAATATACAGTGTGTGATCTTCAAATTAAGTACACAAATACATCAATCGATATCACATAAATCAAATATTATCAGGAGTCAAAAAAAGGCGGGAGATACCGAGGGACATTTAAAACTAATAAGTCAAAAGAAACCTGATAACACCATTATAAAAACAAGACCCGAAAGAACACGAAAAGACAAACAAAGTAAAAGATTCAATAAGACTTATTAGTCAATTGATTCATTTAGTGCGTAAATCTTCACGTTACACAGATTGTCACAAAAGCTGCCCTTGTCGGCCTTGATGTATGAGGGAAACAAATGAAATCAACGCAACATAAG